TAACTAAATATTTTTTTATTTCGGGGTAATATATGTTTGTGTAATAGTGCCGATAGTATAGCCCGGATAATGATAGACTGGTATGTCTCATAGCTAACTGGGTAATAGTTTACCGGTCAATAATAACTGGTTGTAATTGTTTTTATTAATATAAACTGTAAAAAAATATATATAATAATTTGTATTGTTTTTAAATTAATATAAAAATTTATAGAGAAAGTATAAAAATGGTATTAAATTTAGTTATTTAAAAACTTATATAATTATATTTATAAATTTTTAATTTTTCAATGATTGTAATAACTGTACAGTTATTATAGTATAATTGTTTAATAAAAAAATTTATAAAAAAAATAATTAAGTGGTCTGACCGGCTAATTATTATTATTATTATTTAATTTTATAATTCAAATTAAGCATTATATTTTAAGTTTCAGTTTTTTTTTGTTTTGTTTTATAGTTTAAATTAATTAAGTTAAGTAGTCTATTAATATATAGAGATAGAATAAAAATATTATTAAATTTATTTATTTAAAAAAATATTTTTTAATAGATAAATTTTTAATTAACAATCATTGTTATAATTATAAGAGCATACATAGAATATAATTGATTAATATAAAAATTAAATATATATTTCACTGGCTAGTTATTATTTTTTTAAAAAAATATTTAATTTAAATTTAGCAATATATTTGATGTTACAGTTTTTTTATAGTTTGTTTTATAGTTTCTAATATTAATTAAAATTTATTATATCTTATATTTATGGGTATTATGCGTATTGAAAAAATAACCCGTATAATAATAACCGTATAACAAATTGACACAAATAATATACAATAAGAAAAAAGTTTATTATTTTTTAAAAAAAATTATTTTAAATTGACAATGGTCTAAAAACGTTCACAAATAAAATGACTTAAATATACTATTTTTTTATTATCTTTATATAATTGTATTAAAATTTACAATTTTTTTATTAAAAAATAAATAGAAACTTTTTTTTAATTATAACTTCAATCTTATTTCTTATCATATCATATTTTATTATTATTATTTTTAAAAAATAACAATTTTAAATTATTAATAATTTTGTCAAAAAATATTTTTATTTTATTGTAGATAATGATTGATTTTATAGTTTTAAAATATATATATAAATAAATTATTAGTTTTATATAAGTTATTATAAATTATATAAGTTATAATTTTAATATTATAAAAAAATTGTAAACTATTAATACTATCTCAATTGAATATTTATATAAGTTTATAATTAATTATTAAATATCTAACAAATGTATAATTAAATTTAATTATTTGATAAATAATATTTTTAAATATAAATTTTTAATTAGCCACAGTATAAATATTGTATAATTGTTTAATATAAAAATTATAAAAATTAACCAAGATTTTTCGTTTCAAATTATTATTTTTTTAATGTTTAAGTTTAATTAGACACTATAATTTAAGTTACAGTTTTTTTAAAATTTGTTTTATAGTTTAAATTATAAATTTTCTAATACTAATAGACATTAACTATATTTATTTATTTTTTTGGTGTAATAGTTTAGTAATAGTAATAATAATAATAAAAACTGTAAACTACTATCTGAACTAAATATTTATAATTAAAAATGTTTAAAAAAAACCATCCATTCCTTATACGCTAATTATTATTATTTTTAATAAAATATTTAATTTAAATTTAGTATTATATTTTAAGTTACAGTTTTTTTGTTTGTTTTATAGTTATATAAATTATTAATAACTTTGTTGCTAAAGCATTTTTTTATTTTATTGTAGATAATGATTAAATTTATATGTATAATTTTAAATAAATAAATAATAATTTTTATATAAGTTATTATAAATTAAATAAGTTACAATTTTGTTTTATAAATATATTAATAAACTAACAAACATTAATTTAGTAATTTTAAAATTTTATTAACTCTATAGTAATATTTTTTTTAAATCTCAATTATATATTTATATAGCTATATATTTATTTATTATAAATATTTAGATAATGTATAAAAAAAATTATTAAATTTAGTTATTTAAAAAAATATTTTTTTAAATATAAATTTTTAATTAAACACGATTATTATAAATGTACACAGTATATATAATATAATTGTTTAATATAAAAATTATAAAAAAATAATCTTTATGAAGCTAATTATAATTACTAATATTTAAATATTTAAGTTAAATTTAGCTTTATATATTAAGTAACAATTTTTTGTTATTATTTTTTATAATTTAAATTATTCATATTTCAAATACTAAATAGACATTAAAATTAATTTTTATTTTCGGGGGTTTTAATGTGTTATAATTTTTTTATAATTATTTAATTATAATATAAAATTTTTTTAATTAACCATGCTTGTAATAATCCTACATTATATATAATATAATTTGTTTAATATAAAAATTTAAAAAACAACACGCAGTAGTATATATAGGGTTATAGGCGCGATTTAATCCCCTCTAATCCGCTTATCGCTAATCCCCTACTAATCCACTTATCGCTAATCCGATTACTACGTGCGTAAAAGTTATGAATGAAATAGTATTACTACATGTAGTAGTAGTACTATTACCCATTCATAAATTATGTAAGTGTATAAAGTGATGTTATGCAATATGTCACGTGACATATTGCATCACAATTAATTAAAAATGTTTTTTAAATTGTGCGCCTATTTTTTGATTAATTATTTATTTTTTATTTTATTAAATATAAATAATGTTAAATACAATTAAATAAAAGTTAATTACAATTAAGTTTAATATAATTATTAAAATAATTTAAAAATATAGTTAATAAATTATTAGTGTTTTTAATTGAATTAACACCAGTTAATATTATTTTACCATTTTGTGTTAATGTTATTTTACCACAATTGCTAAAATTAATACGCATGTGTGGAAATAATTCTAAATCATAATTAACTAATATATTACAATTAATTAAATAATTATAAAAATTATTAAGACTAATATTATTTAAAATATAAAGTGATGCTATGTTTGTAGTGACAATGTTTTGAGGTTTAATAGTATATCCAAGTCTTTGTATCATACGAGCTGTCTTTCTTAATGCCATCCTTCCGTCTGATTGAGAGTTTGCGCCAATACATATAAGTTTTCCGGTGTCATGAATCATAACTGTTGCTTTAGGATTTCGTAATTTCATAACAACCCGAACAAAATATTTATTTTGATAAATAGAATTATTTAAATTATTAGTTATTATTTTTAAGTCTAAATATATGGGGTAAACACTTAGATCACAAGTCATAGAAACATTTGTTATTTTAGCCATTATTTAGTATTTTGAAATTTATTAAAACGTTTCTTAAGCGTTTTGTTAATCTCTTGCTTAGCTGAAGGCTGATTATTAGATGGGGTAGTTATAATTGGTTGTTCATCAATTTCCATAGGTTCACCAGAAGCAAGAGATTGATTGTTTGTTGAGTCGACAGAAGTATTTGGTATGTTTTTTGGTTGTTGTCCAAAGTCGATGAGTGTTGACAATATTTTGTTTTTCCACTGATGCAATAGTTGAACTTCATTGAAGTTAAAGACAAATAAATTATCTTTAGTTGGTGTTTGTTGGTAAACACAAATCAAGTCATAAACTATTTGGTAATACAGCTTTGATTTATCTGTTTTAAAAACAGATGATTGTCTATGTTTAATACACAATTGACTAATAAACCAAAAGAATTCTTTACATTTGAAACACAGACCACCAGGTTGTAATTGGTTACCATAATAATCACGGATTTGAATAAACTTTTCATATGCGTTTTGATGGACAATAGCATATATACCGAGTTCTCTATGGTAATCTGAAGATCTTGAAATAATGATATTAAAATCTAAGTCAACTCGTTGAGGCATTGCGAACTAATGAAGTATAGTTTGCTACTAGTCTACTGCTATACTTTAACTGGTATGAAAAGAGCGTGCGCATAAACCAGTTATTAATGTTGACGCAATCTAACTGGTTTAAACCGGTTTATTAATGTTGACGCAATCACATGATTTCAAAACCGTTTTTAATTATTAACGCTTTGATGATTTGCTATAAAAGAGAAGTGATATGATAACTCATTATTCAGTTCACTTTTCTCTCTTTGACTATTAATATCATTACTACAACAAGATAAGCAAAATGGGTTTAACAGAGAAATATTTTCAAGTATTTTCAAAATTTTTTCACGAAAAGTTTCTGTATTCACATGAATATGTGGTTCGTGTTGTCGAATGTGAATACAATGGCGAAATAACCAAATATGTGGATATCCGTAAAACGTATATTGAAAATGACGAGAGAAGATTCACAAAGATTGGTGTCTGTTTGGAAATGGATGAGTTTAAGGAATTAGTTCCATACCTCGAAGCACAAAATGGTCGGCCTATCATTGATCAGGTGAAACAAAGACTCATCAATTTTGATAAAACCAAATATGGTTTTGCATTACGTCTTCGGAATAAGAAAGCAGAACAAAATTTGTTCCTGTGTGAAGACGATCTCAAAAAATTATTATTGTATAAAAATGAAATATTATCTTATTAATGTATTATTATTTAACTATTTATTATTTATAAAATAAAATAAAAGCAATAAAACAAAAAAAACAAAAAAATTAATTCCAAAAATAGACGCACAACTAATATACAAATAATTTATTATGATGCAACACATCATGTGACATATTGCATCACACTAAAAAAAACAACATGTGGTATGTAAGCATACTACTGTTATTATAACCAATATGAATGTGTTAATATGACGTCATTGTCTTTAAAGAGTGTTCATTGGTTATAACAGTAATATATTTAATTAATGTTGATGCAATAATAAAGTATATAAAGCATAGTAGTGCACACTATACTAATAGATACCAAATTTATAACGTTCTGTTAACATTGAATTATAATTATAAATAATATTTAATATTTGATTTACAATGGCCTCTGGAAATGAAGTTATATTTAGTAAAATAGAAGATAGAATACAATCTTTTAATAATTCTGAATGGATTAACACTGTTGATTGGACACGTGATTACCGAAAGTTTGCTTTGGCTGGATTTTATTCGATAGGACATTTAGATTACGTTAAATGCTTTAGCTGTGATGGACGTTTGTGCTCATGGACACGAGTTGATGATCCATGGATCGAACACGCAAAGCATTACCCTCATTGTGACTATCTTAGAGCACAGAAATGTCAAAGTTTTATAACAACTTGTCGAGAAATGTATTATGAAAGACCTGTTGTAAATGTAGAAATGTTATTTGAGTACACGTACTCATCACCGCATCCTCCTTTGGTTGTTCAAACACCACCATCTGTTGAAATACAACAAAGTCATCAACAGAATAATAAAATGCTTTGTAAGATATGCTATGAAAATGTAATGGAAGTGGTGTTTCTACCTTGCGCACATCAGATATCGTGTATAAGATGTAGTCAGCGTTTGCTCAAATGTCCTTATTGTAGAGCTAATGTTACAAAAAGATTAAAAGTATTTATATGTTAATATTATAAAAGTGAGTATTAATTAAATATAATAATATTAAATATATTAAAAGTTTGATTATTTATAGATTATTTCTAAGTATGGAATTAAATATAAAATATAGTAATATATTTTATAGTTATTGTAATCCAAAATCAACTTCTGCATATGTTTTAATTATACGTATTATTAATGATACAATAAAAAATTTAACATATGTGGATATACGTAAAGCATATAATGAAGATATATATACAAAATTTACCAAAGATGGCGTATGTCTAAGTAAAAAAGAGTTTATTATCTTATTACCATATTTAGAAAAAAGAATAAAATTCATACAATTTGGTACTAACTATCGAAAAATAAAATTTGAAAATGTAATTGGTGGAAATAAAATAAGTGTGATTAAAGTTAATAAAAATGAATGTAATAATTTAATACTATATGAATATGAATTATCTAACTTATTATTTTATAAGAAAGATATTATTAATCATCTTAATTAAAATGTATTTTATATTTAATAAACTTTAATAAAAATTTATAATAAATAATAAAATAAAATAAAAAATAATTAATTAATCAAAAAATAGAAGCACAAATAAACACAAACAAAAATAAATTATATAAAAAAAACAAAAAATTACACATAAAAATCATTGTTGAGCGCTCAAAGAGTACTGCCCTCTTTGGCCCTGCCAATGCCCCTTATTTGTTCCGTAGAACACGGCGGGAGTTAGTTCCGTATATTATCTATTTAATATCTATTAGTAAAACTAAATAACCAATCCCATAGTAGCATACATTTCACTTCAGCACATCTCAGAATATTAATATTAGGAACCAATCTATTATGAAAATGACATGCTATTGGTATCTTAGTGTAAAGTTTTTTTAATCTACAAGTACTAGGACATTGTAGAACATTTAGATCTACAAATGGTATATCCAAAATAATTAATAGATCTTTTAATTGTTAGTTTTTTATACCCAAATATTTTTTAGTATCCGTTTTTACTTTATTATATAATATAGCAATAATCTGTAATGGATCATGTGTATCGTTAAATTTAATTTCATTGTTAGAAGTGCGCAAAGACATGCCTAACAAATTATTAGCAATATATAAATTAGTTATCCTATCTTTAACAGTCATATCAACAAATTTTAAGTTAGTCTCACATAAAACATTTTGTTTAAATGTATGTGATATAATAGATATCTCTCTCGGATAAAACTCTTTATCCATATAAAAACCTTGTGCATCCATAACTGCACATATTTTATTTGCAAAGTATGGTCTATCTTTGAACTCCATTATAGGTCTAATTTTTTAATCATAAATGTTAAATCATTAGATGTATTTAATGGGTATCCCTCTTCTATAAAAAATCTTTCAATCTTATGTTTATACATATTTGCAATGTCTGCTAGAGTTTTATTAATCATAATTGTATCTGTGATGACTATTAAAAATTTTTCATCATATATAATCTTTATTTGTTTATATACTCTATAATAATCGTTAAAAGATTTATAGACTTTTGATAAACGACAATCACCAATTACGTAATAATCTGGCAATACTGTCGTTAATATTAGGAGAAAAGCTAAAAACACTCCTAAACGATTCAAAGGTTCCACCATTAAAAAAGTTTGTTAAAAAATAAATACAGTATAATCCACAGGTATCTGAAAATACACTTTGAAAATTTATTGTATTATAATAAAAACCATGTAATATATTATCTTTTATAAACTTTAATATATCTGAATGTAGGGGTTGAATACCAAATGAATCAAAATAAACAATATCACCATTGATCGACTTATATATTGTAACCCAATGTTCTCCTGGTAAAGATGAACTATCTGTGTTTATAATTATACCCGTACCTAAAGGTATAGTATTTGGTAATAAATCTCTAGGGTAAGTACCGTAATATATATCACAATTTCTAAAATAATGGTTAATCTCTAATGTATTCATGGAAAATCTTTAATAGCAAAACGGGAATTTTGGATTTCAATTAGATTATCGTATTCACAAAATATAATTGCAGTTACAGTCTCTTTTATTGGATGAGCAAACTTTAATTCTATTCGTAAATTACCCCTACTTAATGGAGAAACATATCCACTTTTAGCTACACCATCTGATAAATCAGGTGTGAAATTAAATCCGAATATAGTAAAACCTTCAACATATTCATCTCTAGTAATATCTATACTCGTTTCATGTCTTATTTGATTAGCTGTTTCAAATAATCCGAAATATTCACGCATATATTTTTTAGTGTTAAAATCTGGAGTGTAAGGTCTATGCGGATATTGAGTTCCATCAACATAGCAGGCTATATGTCTTATACTATAATTTTTAAAATAAAACGGATTCAAATTATAAACACCGTTATATGCTTCATTGTTGACAAATGCAACATATATTTTTCTAGGTATTACACCATTAACTACATTGTTTAAATAACAATCCAAAGTATCTTTAGCTATAATTGATGTCTTTACTTCTTTTCTTGTAATAAAATATCTAGCATTAGTTTTTTCTAGTGCTTTATTATGTGCAATTACCACTTGAGGACTTAATATAGATCTATGCATAAATAATCTGACATCCATAATCTCAACCTTAGGTAATAATGTTTTATCATATATTAAATAAAAGTTAGGATCATTAGGATATATTTTTATATTGAGACTAACGCCTCCTAGTAATGACTTTACTTGAGAGCTAAGATCAATATGTAGATTTCCATACATTTCAATCTCACACCCTTCATCTAAAGTGTCACCAATAGGTCTGATTCGTTGGCTTCTGATTTCGTTTACGTTGTCCATCGGATATTCATCTTTTTGCCATAAAGCAGTCTGTAAATGAGTTTGTCTAGCTTCTGGAGTACTATTTAATAAAGTATCCATATATGCCACATAAGGATAATTTACTGATGTTGATGATACAGAAGTTTGACCAATTACTACATCTATTTGTTTAATAAATGAATGTAATAAATAATTTACTGGAGATATTAGTTTCCAGTCATCTGCTTTTATATCTGGAGTTTTAGATACAGTAGATTTTTGCAACTTTATTTTTAAACATAGATATATTTCACTTTTACTGAGATTAATATATTCATTAAGACCAGTGTGTACTTCAAACTCAATAGTGTTTGTTGATTGGTTTAATGAACTGATTGGGCGGTGTTCAGTTTGTACATCACGTTCAATCATAAGTTGAGTGGGTGGCACACCAAAAATATCCAACTCTGGTAATGTCATTAAAGACGAGAGCTCATGTATTGTAGTCATATTTAATACTTTAATATCTTTTTAGGTGTCTTACGTCTTCTATAAAATTTTTTAGGTTTAGTTTTTTGTTTTTTCTTAGTTTTTTGTACACTTTTTTTACGTTTACGTTTACGACCCAAACCTTTTTGCTTTTTTTGCGTTATTAAGTTTATCTTTAACGTCTGTTATGACAGAATCAGCTGTGCGTATCAACTGGTTAGCACCTGCTTCTTTAAATGATTTACCAGATAATACGTCACCACCAAAATTATTAAAAGCCTCCCATCCTTTACTGGCTACGTACTTTAAGGCTGGTTTTAAATGTTTTAATATCTTTCCAAATATACCGTTTCCGGATTGATATCTATGACCTGCATAAGTAACAATACCAGACCCTGCTTGGTTCATATAGTATTGTATATATGGATTATCCATGTTTATTTTTTAATAAAATGTAACGTTATAGCTATTCTACCAAATTTAAATGGTATTTTCATACCACTATCATCTTCTATAACAATTTCAATTGTTTCAAATTGATTAAGTCTTACGGGTCTGTATTGCGGTTTTTCATATGTTAAATGTATAGTTTCACCAAATTTGTATTTTCGCGGTACTTCAATAACTCTCAATAAGTTAGCAAATGAATTATTAACAATTGATGGATATACAATGTCAGTGTATAAATACAGAGAATGAAATCCACCATATATTTCTACTGGATGAAAAGCTTTAATACAATCTTTATTTTCTATACCGTTAAATACAACATCAGCCAAATTATTGGTTACGTAATAATAATTAAGAGATTGTTGTCTATTTCTTAAACCTAATATATTTTCAATTTCTTCACCTAAATCAGGAAACACTTTAACAGTGTTTTCGGCTTTACCAACTTCAAGAGTTATATAATTATTTATTTCATTATATAAAAGTTTAGGTGATTTAACTTTACTAAACAAATTGAATATTTTATTTATTTCATTAATCAGTTTAACAGGTGTGTCATAAAACCCTGCATGTATAGTAAATAAATCTGTATCATTGTTAGAGTAAATATTTCCCATCTCATCAAATAAAGTTATTGTGTAATCATTTAATACATTATACCAAGATTTGGTATATGAAATTTCACACACACCAACTAACCAATCACCAAGTAATTCAACTTTTTTGCCTAATTTTATACGAAAGTTAGATAACTTATCGTATTTATTAACATTGCTAATTAACGTTATGTAATCACTCATTATTCACAAAGTTTAATGCCTGTAATATTGTCAGTATAACAAGTCCAAATTAACTTTTCTTTATCTCTCAAAATAAATAATGTTATTATAAATATAAATAACAAAATAAAACATAATATCTGTATTAATAAACAACTCATTTTAATAAAAAATGTTATCTTTTATAAAATTTTAAACTACAATATTGTCTTTTATTAATTTATTACAGATTTTTAACTTTGGATTAGGCATTAAGTAACCTAAAGTGCTGGTAAGTATAATTGTCCATAAATTACTATCACCAATCATTAATGTTAGGTTAACTAAACTTATTATTATAACTATACTAACTGCCGTTATCTGTGTAATAAATAAAATTAAATCTGATTTACATATATTTTTAATTGTAGACATTTTGTATATCAGTTACCCAGCTATTGTATGTATCTGGATAGTTTAACCATTTTACATAATACTCTTTTATAC